CTTTTTAGAACCCCGATTTCAAAATTTTCCCGGGGGGTTCCTGGACCTCCCAATAAAAGGTTACGCTGCCTCCCTCCCAACCCTCCACGTGGCTCCGATAAAACCACTCCATGTCTTTTTATCGGCATTGTCCGCCGCCTAGTCAAAGTTATTCTCCCTCTACTTCAAATTTTCAGGAGAACACTGTCTACAGGCCTATCAAAGCTATCAGGATAGCCTAACATCGCAGCAGGGACATGGAGGAGATGGACTTGGTAAGCAAGCTGTTTGCTTTTTTTATTACTCAAAAGCCACCCTGAGCACAATGCAGAAAATATACCCGAGTTTCTTGGAGATGATGTTCCTGAAGACAATGTTTCAGACATTCCTGCACACGACCCTGATGAAAGTGGTGTTCAGCAAACAGAGTTTGCAGATAAGGAACCAGAACCTACAACATGCAGATCCACAAGATCAACTGCAGGCAAGCAAGAAGACCCAAACAGGGAGCCATGTCCAGCAGCAAGAATGAACTCTGTAGCAGCCTCACAGTAAGTTAATTTTAATGTTCACATTTTTACTTTGATTTTGTAGCAAAAGCCATAAGTTAGTAAGTACTAAAATAATGTATGATGCTTGTCGAGGACGACAACCCCAAACAGGGGAGCAGGCGACCAAGTTCACAATTTCATCATTTTACGTTCAAGTAATGTAGGTTATTTTTAGCAAGTATTTAGTTAGGAATGATGACAGAGTTCACAACCTTGAATGAATGCTGGACCTAGATATAAGCAACCTGCTTGACTACATAGCTTCGGCAAGTCCAACCAAGAGGTGATTTTCCCACTGGAGCAGGCAGTTTCCAAGACAATTTTGTCATGTTTCAAAACATCTAGTCTTGAATGTTGTTTTTTTAATAATAATAATAATAATAATAATAATAATAATAATAATAATAATAATAATAATGGCATTTCGGGCAGTATATCCACAGGGTGGCTCTTCGCCTGCCCGATGCTAACTAAATTTACAATTGTAAAAAGATTGAAAGATATCTAAGAATTTATATCTATATGTAAACGAGATAAAATTGTGTTTTAAGATATGCTAAAATAAA